AGAGAGAGAGAGAGAGAGAGAGAGAGAGAGAGAGAGAGAGAGAGAGAGAGAGAGAGAGAGAGAGAGAGAGAGCATACATCCGACGCACGTTGCGAGAAATCGGTAGAATGCACAAATCGCATCACGCGAATCCCCGCTCGCTCGCGAAAAGCTGCGAGAAGCGGCAAAAAGCTCGCAGGAGTTAAGCCCGTGAGGCGCATGGAGACGTTTGCGTGCTTTGTGACGTTTGCTCAACGCGAACGAGCGCGCTCACGCATGAGTGCGGCGCAGTGCGAGGATTATGGAATAGTCACGAGTCTCTCCCTTTGATGTTGTTTTAATATAAAACATCCAGAGACGTTTCACAGCCAAAGCGATAATGCAGTGATAATTATGCAATAATTGGAGGATTACTTCCTACACATTTGTTTCGTGTAATAAAATATCTGTTGTCTCGGGAATCCCACTTCTCCTCTTATTCCAATAATCCCCGATATTCCGATTCGCTGTTCGATGAATACGTGTTGCGATATTATTTCGTGTTTTTAAGGAGCTTCCGTGGCGCTTGAATAAATAAAGGATAGATTTATAATATGTATAATGTGTAATATACGTACATGACGTAAAAATTAGTCCAACTAACAATGCATAACAGAAATTTCAATATTCCTTAACGAATCGTTTGCGAAATATTTCATTGTAAATTTATATCGTGTAAACATATGCAAAACTCCTATAATATACGAGAAATTTCTTCTAATTATACATATTTGTGTGTAAGACATAATTACGTATAAAACAGAAGTTTAAAAAAATAGTCGAAATAATAAATTGAATATTTAAGAATATTTTAGTGAACTATTATATAAATTTATCATTAGATTAAAGAAAAATTTGGATTTTTCAATAAGAATATGATTATGAGAATGGGAACACATGGTAATATCAAATACATGATGAGTTAATTTCCGATCTGAAATAAATTCACAATATTATTTCTATATTTATTTCTGTATTCGTTATTTATTTTAATATAACATCTTTATTTATTTATTTATTTATTTTAACCTTAGAGAAAGAGACAGAGAGGAGAGAGATGAAATTGCTGATGTTATTATTTTTTTATTTAGTATTTATTGATTATATTATGTATATATAAAAAACATTTGCTTTACAAACAATGCAGTGTTAAAATAGAATTGTATGTCTCTTTCGTTTATTACATCAGGAAATCCTTATTTTTAAATGGTCATATTTGCAAATTAAACAAATGTACAAAAATGATATTTTGTAACCTAATGTTTATATCTTCACGTGCCATTAATGAAATTTAGAGAAAATTTTTCTGCCGCTGCTGTAAGTAAAGTTCCTCAAAATTATTCCTCAAAATCCTCAAAATTGTTTTTAGTCCTTTCTATCTTATTTTGCGAAAATTATGACGTGATAGCTGAATTTAGACGATGAATTCGTGTTTAGCGGCCAAATGACTATTTATACTTGTCCAGTAAAAAAAAGAGATTTGTCGGACAGTGTTATTATAAAACCAATTAATTAATTCAATTTGTATTGAGAATAGAGTAACTAATAAAGTAAATTAATATACTCTGTCAATAATTGAGGACTCAAACTTAATGCTGAACTAGTTTGGCGGCCTGAGAAGCTGTGCGCGAACACGGGAGATTTAATCATTACTACTCGCCTTGAAATCTCTCAAAGAAGCGACAATTGTTCCTAACTGCCCGTATTCGCGTCGTCAGGTGAGTTCTTGTATCGGTTGACATCTTCACGTGCACGGTTGATACTTTCATCGAGGAGCATACCGCAGGCACGAGATACGCCGCGTCGAAGAATTGCCCGTTCAGCCGTAAAATTGGATAAAAACAGATTAGAGGCAGCGAAGCGCGTGGCGTTTAATAGTCTTTTTGTCGAGCCATCTTATATTAGGTTCTTCGTTTTTTCTTTCTCGTTTTTGCCTATTAATGTTGCGTGGTCGGACCTAACGATGACACGTTTCATTCGCGGTGATAAGCCTCGCCGTCGCCCGCGACAATTAACGAAGTTCAATTAGAAGCCAACCGACCGATTGCGCACTCAAGCCATCCCTTGCTGCGGAATTGACGAGCAATTTAACGATCAACGCGAATCAAAGTCGATTTATACCCCGCCGTTCTCTCTACGACGACGACGACGACGATTTCGAAACGGCCAACCTTCGAGTAGTTTCGCACGCCAAATTTCATTTGCGCGGCGATTAATTTTATCGTCGGTTTACTGCGCGGAATAATGCCTGAAATTGGCAGATGTAAATTATTAATAACACTCAAACGCTCCGATACTCGATGCGTTTTCGAAACGCCGGGCGTGGCGAGACTTTCGCGCGCGCAGTCACGTTTCATTTGCGCCGTAAGTGCTCTTCCGTTATGAACGCGCGCGAAACGAACGGAAATGAACGGAATAGATATTATTATCGGCGAATTAAACAATCTAATTTCACGCGAAGCGCTCGGACAGCGCGAGGACGTGGAGTGCGAGTAAAGGCTATGATTTTCGTTAAACGAACGTTATTAGATCACAGAGCCTGGCCGACTTTCGGGGGGCACCGAATGCCCTGGAGAGGTGGAGATGCGGTCGGGCGCAGACACCACCGTATATATCTGCGCATAATCCCCGAGTTACAAATTCTATTAAGCGGGAACGAGGGAGAGAATGGAGAAGACTGAGGGATTAAAATTACCGAGTGTCTTATTAAAAGGAGAGATTGCACTCTCGCGCCCGCGCCCGGGCTTCCCCCGGCCAAATGACGCAGAGCTCTGCTCCGGGAAAAATATTTCCAGGCACGATCGTGTAGTCCTTAATTGACGACCGTCTTGATGAATACTTCGAGATGAATGGATATTCACGTAGCGGCGATTTAACTGGCAGATCTGAAATCCGAACGTTTCTTAAATATCCGTGTTCCGAGGTGGAGTGAGGTTTTTCTTATCGGAGAGGAAATCTTGATTTAATTACTGTGTGTGTATATATATATATGTGTGTGTGGTGCGGTGTTGTAATCGCGTTACCAGGCACGACGAGTGCATCTGCGCGCACTTTTTGCGCTCGCAGTCTCGGCTTTAATTCGCGCATCCCCCTTTTTGCCGCACTCGCTGGAGAATCAAGCGACCCTTAATTACGGCTGACCGAGCGGCGATTAAACTTCGCTAATTGTCGCACCGATGACGCCCGCACACCTCTGATAAGCGGCCGCGCCATTCCGCGAGCCTGCGTCGAGACGCGATTCCCCATTGTGGTGAGTTTAATGGATGTGTTTTTCTAATTGCCGCGATGAATCTCGAAATAAGAATTCGTTTTTAAACTCTCGCCTCGTCGAAGAAAAAAAAGAACATTCCCATGCCTGTCTCGCGCTCATCACAGAGCTCGCACTCCCTATCGTACTTTCCACAATATTCAACGGAAGAAAACAGCGATATATAGGACGAAAAGGACGGACAAAATGTAGCGAAGGGAACGGAAACGCAACGGAGGGCGGGCGTCATGAACGGGAGATAGCGTTATCAGAATTGCCTTCGGGAACTCCACTAATTTTAACTAACAGTGGAAATATCGCGAAACTTTTGAGCGGCGAGCCCTCGCCAAACAATTTATCTCTCTATCTCCGGCGAGAGATAGATAGAGAGAATGAAAGAGAGAGAAAGAGACCCAGAGAGGGGGACAGAGAGAGAGGGGGAGAGAGAGAGAGAGAGAGAGAGAAATGGAGAAAGAGAAAGACAGCTTCTGGTGTTCTCGCCCGTAGCCTCTTACTTATCCACTCGCTTTACAGTGTCGGGGGAAGGGGATCGAAGGGGAGAGAAGGCTTTAGTACGCCTTTAAAGTACGGTATAACCCTGGAAATTATAGCACGCCACCGGCGCA